CAGCGATAGATGCCTTCCAACTCGACGCGCGGACCAACGAAGTCGTAGCCGATCACGCCACCGGCCATCCAGCCGAGCTGCGGGGTCACGCTCACGGTCGGGAACGCCGGGATGTTGGTGTTCGCCGTGAAGTTCGTCAGCCAGTTGATGCCGCCCTCGGCACCAATGTACAGACCCGGCTGCGGGGCCTGCGCCTGCGCGGCCAGCGGCAGCGCGACAATGGCGGCGGCCGCCAGAAGAGCCTTCTTCATCAGATATCTCCTTACTTACACAGCCCCATCGACCAAGCGGCGGGGCAGAAATTCTTCGTGATAGCGAGGCGAATGTACTTTACCCGTGCCTCCAAGCGCCAGAAACTAAGGCACGCGACACGCATTGTTGCCCGCACTGTGGCGCTCCAGCCACACTTTGGGGCCTCGGCAGATTTGCAACAATAGTTTTCCAAAGAAACCATCTTAAAATATTGATTCAAACCGGGCAGAACAGTTTCTTTGCGCGCCCTTTCCCAGGCGCCTCATTGCAACACACGAGCGGACAACGCACAATCTCTGCCCAGAGGTGGCCACGAACGATGAAGCTGGTGTCAGTTGTTTTATTCGTCCTGACCGCATGGAGCGTCGGGGCGGCGGCCCAGCAGCGGGCACCCGATGGCTTTCGCGCCTGTAACCTGACCTCTCGCGAGATCGAAGTCGCCAAGGCGCTGGACACCGGGGTGAGCGACGGCGTCGGCCGCATCGTGATTTCCGAAGGTTGGTACAAGTTGCCGCCCAATGCCTGCACCCTCCTGTGGAGCGGCCCGCTGCAGTACGGCCAATACCTCGTGTACGCGCAGGACAAGGTTTCCGGGCGGGAATGGACAGGGACCGTGCCGGTCTGCGTCACACCCCAGGCCTTCACGATCCGCGCCAGCACATGCGGCGCCAATTACCAGCGGCGCGTGTTCACGCCGGTCGCCGTCGGTCGCCAGAACGGCTGGACGCACAACTTCACGCCATGAAGTCGTTCCTTCTGGACCATATCGGCCTCTCGCACCCTCGCCGATTCGAACGGACCATCGCCTTCCTCGTCGCCTGCATCCTCGCGATCGTGGTCGGCGCCGTGGCGCTGCGGCTGGTCATGAAGGACGAATTCCACTTCGACTCGCCGCGCTTCTGGTATTTCACCTACCTTGCGGGGCTGCTTCTCCTCGCGATCCTCTGCACGCGGCTGCCCAAGCTGACCATGGTCCTGCTGTCGCTCGCCACCCTGGAAATCGGCCTCGGGTTCGGAACGGCCCTGCTTTACAAGCTGCGCCTTTCATCGTCCGAAACCCTCTTCGCCCGTGACTATGTGAGGCCGCACTACGACTGGCACCCCCTCCTCCAGGTCCGGCAGGTGCCGACGGCCGTGGCCCGCAGCACCCACGGAGTGGCCTACGTGAACTCGGAACGGCGGCGGGGCCGCGAGCGCGATCCCAACGAGCTGAAGAGCAAGTCCGTCATTGCCCTGATCGGCGGCTCGACGACGCTGGATATCCTGTCACGCGAAGGCGAGACCTGGGCCGAACACCTCGAACGCCTGCTGGGAGCCGACCGGTTCGCGGTCATCAACCATGGCGTGAGCGGCTACACGACATCGGAACACGTCATCCAGACCGCCTTCTATCAGGACAGTTTCGGCGTGCCGGCCAACTGTGCCGTCTACTATATCGGCTGGAACGACCTGCGGAACGCCCACGTCCGCGATCTCGATCCCGCCTATGCCAGGAACCATCTGGTCGGCCAGATCGACGCCCTCGACGCCCGGCGCATCAACGGCCCGGCCCTGTCCGTTTCACCGATTCTCTCGTTCCTGGGCAAGCTCGCCATCCTCGGTTTCGACACGGTTCGACCGCCCGATCCGGTCCGAAGCGACGGCGCCAAAGGCCCCGACCCGGCCCTCGAGAAAATCTACGCCCGCAACATCGCCAC